TTGTTTCTCCAAGGTGTTCGACCTTGTCAAGGTCTCCACAAGGGGGCGAGGGCATCCGACATTTTGGGGAAGGGGGGTGGGTGTCCGCCTGTCTCTGTGAAGACTTCAACACATTCCCTTCGACGGGTGTGGTTATATCTCGGACGGGGAAGTCTTGGTGTGTTTTAATATGCTTCAAAAAAAAAAGTGTCACAAAATAAAAAATCGAAAAAAGGCGGCATACACGCTACTTGTTTGTACCAGCGTCTGTCGTCATTTCATTCAGACGAATCCGGTAGCCGCGATCTCGAAAGAGGCAATTCGTTGAAGGGCCCAGACAAAGTGTGCTTCTACGTTACGTACCGGGTGAATGTGGATCCCGTCGAAAGAGCCACTTGGTTCAACGCTTCGCAAGGCAAGCGTCTCTACGTTACCAACCTGGTGAATGTGCAAACGCCGTGTTACCAACCTGATGAATGTGCAAACGCCGTGTTACCAACCTGATGAATGTGCAAACGCCGTGTTACCAACCTGGTGAATGTGCAAACGCCGCGTTACCAACCTGATGAATGTGCAAACGCCGTGTTACCTACCTGGTGAATGTGCAAACGCCGTGTTACCTACCTGGTGAATGTGGATCCGGCCGTCGTCGTCGGTCGAGTCCTGGAACGCGGAGTTGAACACCTCCGGCGCTGCTCCCTCGGCCGCACTGTTCAGCTCGCTGAGGCTGCTGCTAGGTCAAACACCGATTATTGTCGGGACGGAGGACGGACACCGCGGCATGTGTCAAGAGAACAGTCGATTGGCATATACATGCGGCAAATATACATGTGAAAAAATCTCGGGTAGGCTTATGCATCCACCCTCGGACCCACGGACGCGGTATTTGGCTCATTCTCCCTTGGCAATGCACACACGCAAGAAAAAGAATCCACAGCACCAAAAAATTACAAGCCTTTCACATTCTCGACACAGCCGCAGAAGAGGTCACTTCGCTCGCGTCATCTCAACAGTCAACCTTTCCAGCTTTGCCCTCGCACAGACACTGACCAGCTCCAACCGAATTCTAAATAGTACCTGTTGGAGTGCGACAGGCCCGCGCGAGAGGCCGCCTTCGCACGCAGCGCTTCCACCTTCGGGGGGCGAAACCGGTAAAACAAGATGGGGAAACAAACGCCGTCAGTAAGCAACTGGAATTGACATGTTTCGGGGGGGGGGGGGAGGGCGCAGACGTGATGGCCGAGCAGGGTATAGGGGAAGACGACCTTCTCGTCGTCGCTAGTGGTATGAACCCCCCAACCCCGTTCCACCACAATGCCCACCGCAATGCCTACCGAAGTCAGTTACCAAAACACACGTTCCTCCTACAGCAAGTCCTACACCGAGCAGCACATCTACCCATCACCGTCTACCGTGCTCCCACACAGCAAGTTCTACACCGAGCAGCACATCTATCTCATCACCCCGTGCCGTGCTTTTCCTGGTTGTGGGGACCGGACGCAACTTGTCCGCCATGGCGCCCTACACCCCGCCGAGACGCCCAAACCCGAAGAAAAGAGCGGCCAACGCTCTCTCTCTGTCCTACCCGACGTGGACACAGGCCAAGAACGCCCCGTCCACGTGCGCACATACCGCCCTAACTCTACCCCTAGGCCTGACCCTAAAATACCTTGTACTCGTTTTGTGTGGTGACCACTCCCACGCCCTCCTGCATCACGTCCACGAACTCCGCGTTCTGGACCATCTTCTGCAGCTCCTGCAGCCGGAGGCAGTGGAACCCGTAGAACTTTCTGAGGACCGAGACGCCGACCGTTCTCCAGAGGGAACGGTTCAGGTCCTCGTTCGCGAGAGCCTCGAACAGGAAGGATCTGCGAATTCAAACAAAACAATAATCCGGGGGGGGAGAGGGGGGGGGGGGGTCATTCATGAAAACGCATGCCGTAGTCGTCAGTCCATTGACTTCGCACCTTCCATGCCAGGATGGAGCGATATGGTGCGTTTTCGCCGGCCGAGGCTACGCGCGGAGGGAGGGAGGGGCGGCGAAAGGCTTGTGTGCAGCAGTCTTTCGCATTGCAACCCCCAACGTGCCGGGCAACCGGTTCACGCTGTTTTCCACCTGGTAGGCGCTTTCATGGCAAAATGCAAAAGCGTCTTCTGTGGTGCGTTTGGCGATCCGCCAGAAGGGTGAGCTGCATCCTGCTGAGGGTGTTCGGCACCGTACGCCTTCTCCCGCTTGCACGTGGACGGGCGGATTTGATTGGCGTCATCTGTTTGCTTCACCTCCACAGACGGCAAGCTGCATCACTGAAGCAAGCTAGAGCAGTGCCGGCACACTCATGATATCAAATTCAGTTTTGACCAAGCCTTGCTCTGCCTCACCAGAGCATGCCTAACCCACCGTGTATGGTGTATTGCAGGCGGCTGGCCTCAATCTCCTACGCCTCTTTCCTACTGACAAACCATCTGAACCTGGGTTCCCTGCGCGTTGGTTCGAAAGAGTTACACCGCACTGCGAAACTTCTTCCTGTTTAGCGCCGGGAGACACTCGTTTGCGTGGACAATCAGCGCTCACGTCCGGTCGAAGAAGAAGAGATGGACGAAGGAGGTGGAGGTGTATGTTGCCCGGAAGGGTAGCCCCAGCATCGAGTCCGTCATCCCAAACACCGCGCCTGCGTGCAACGGGTGCTCCTTGATCTTCACACTCGAGCCGCCTTGAAACAAGACCGCACAAGGACAGCACAGTAGTAGGTTGCCCCACAAAGTGGCAGCTTGAGTGGTGTAAGTGGCGTCAAAATCTCTTGTCGCTATCTCAAAATATACTGAACCAGATATACCGAATAATGGCGCTGCCCTGAATAGTGGCATATTCTCCTCTTGCCCCTAGATGCCACTATATCGGGCCACCTGCTGCACAAAGTCGTGACGGGAAAGCGAAACGTTACATTATCAAGGACTAGTACGATATTCACGACCCTTCCTCGCTTGCTATTCCTTGTGGTCGGGAACGCCCATGATTCACCCACGAAACGCCGAAAACGATGTATTTGTTGCTTTCTTGCTTTGGAAAGCTTGCGATAGTACTGCTGGTCGCCTCAGTTCAGTTGATATCCTTGCAGACAGCGGGACGGAGTTCGTATCTTGGCGGCACCACAAAAACTGGGATGATCGTACGCTCATACAAATCGTGGGAATCGATCCATGCTTGTGTGCACAAGCTTCGACTTCGCGGTCGACAACAGAGTCGCTCCCGCTGTAATGCACTAAACTAACGAAAATAACTCTTGTGAAAAAAAATTCATGTGACTCCGGCAAGAATGACCAGACTAAACGGGGTGAGACGCACACATACGTGCTACAAAGGTACTTCTACCACTCACCCTCTCCCTCAAAACCGCCTGCGGCTGTCGTGTGGCCGTCCCCCCCCATGAAAAGCCCCCCTTTTCGACCCGCACCGGAGGCGTGCGGTGCCTCGCTGGAAGAATCTCGCTCCTGTCAGGATCGGTGTTATTGTTGCTTGCGTCTTAAGGCACGTTCTGAACCAACTGCTTCTAAACCATCGATGGTTGACTATCCCGACACACGTTGGAATGACAAGCCATTGGGGTTGCTGGGGGGGGATAATCGACAGTCTGAAAAAGGAAAACCGCAAAGAGGCGTTTGTTGTCGTACGCTCACCAAAGTTCAGAAACAAAGACACGACTGGCAAAAAGAAAGTTGCCTACAACGGACCTTAACGATGCCCGATATTCAATACGTGCTTGAGGATCACGCTGACCGTTCGAGAAAGCCAGCACCTACCGCACCGAAAAGGTGCGAGTCATCGCACACCCCAAGACCTTCAAGGCTTGGCTATTCCGCGACCAAGATGGAGAGGACTCGGATCGATGCGTGCATGGAAAGCTCTCGAAGAGATCGTTCCAACACATCGCACCCTTATGGGCACAGAAAAATCTTTTGACCGTGGGGAGGTCGAGCTATGAAGGTAGGGCCGGGTGGGGTGCGACGGCTCGAACGTTAACGGAAAGCTGAATTCTAAACTGCCCAACAACCAATCATACCGGCCGGGCTATTGACAAAGGTGACACAACGTAAATCCCTCCGAAAAAGCTCTCGAACAAGTGATGCACTATTTATGCTGCATACAAAGTCTCGATGCCGCGAAAACAAGACCATACGTATGCTTAAATGGTCCGAAAGAGCGACCACAAGTCGGGGGGAAGCGGTCCTTTGTGTTTCGTGTTGGAAGCGAAGACCGTCCGTATCGATGGCGCCGGGGCTGCTCCAAACTCACCCGGAAGATACGTATCATGGAATTATAAGGCTAGATAACACTTTTGGCAGTTCTAGAGGCGAGGGCAGCTAACACTTCCCTCTAAAGGGCACACAACCTTGGCAAACGGGCTGCTTGCCCCAGTGTACATAAATGCATACCTCTAAGCTAGGCGCAAGTAGTTAATACTACCAGGTAGTCGGTACTTTGAAGTATAATGCAGCGAGAATAGAGATTTTGGTCGCGTCGGCCGATGTTATATTTTTTAACCACATCGAGGTACACATAGGTACTGTGTTGGGTCAGATGTGGCGCTCTATGCACCTCTGTCATGTGGGTCTCCCTTTGTGTGTCTACGATGACGGCACCGGCAGGTATTGGCGCGTGGGACAAAATCCCTGGAGCCGGAAGCGCTCGCAGACCATACTTGAAACCGAGGACGATGTACTGCAAAACAGACCCCATCACCCACTTAGTCTCGAAACCAGCTCATCATCGCAAAGGCCAAAGAGAGGACCGCTCCCGTCAAAGGCTCAATGATACAGCTGTTCCATGACACACGCCAACGAACCGTTCCGTGCGTTTCCAGATTATATGCCGTGACGAAGACAGGCACGAATAGGCCCAACCAACGCACACACGCCGCGAGAGTACATAGGCAAAACAAAATAGCATGGACGTTGTCCTTGACCCGTACCTGTGATACGGTGACCATCTGGACGGAGCCGCGCACGATGTAGTACCAGCCGGTGGTGCCCTTGTTGTGGCCCGAGTGCTTTACGCGCTCGCTCTGCCAACGAGAGTGAGTATTCACACGCGCCACACGTACGACAAACGTAAAACAAATACGAAAATCATTGGCGATAAATGACATATCCAAGGAGAACTCCACAGACAGGATTTTCACACCGCACTGAAATCAAATGCACCGTAATTGCCGCGCGAGGAATCCCACTCCCCCCCTAGACCGACTGTCATAGCTCGATTGCTCCACAACTACGCTAACTAGCCAAAGAGGATCGCTTCGGGAAGATCTCGCGGAGGGCGTTCTCAAACCAATCGGCCGGTATCTTGCTATTTGCACCCTCTTGGTGGAGGAGTAAATGAGCTTTGAAGTCGGACTAGGGGGCGTGCATTCACTCGCACAATTTCGGAACAATATCCTCCCCAAAGCTAGAGACAAAAACACCGAAAAAAAAAAGAAAAGAACACACGCACAAATGTTATGAATGTGTGCTGGAACTTGATGTATTGCACGATTGAAGGAGCTGCAGACCAGCGTACCGGCATTTCACACGCCTGTTCATCGTACTTGTACCTGCCGCAGGAGGACGACGTTGGAGCCGTGCAGCTCTTCCTGACAGAAACGGTCGTCGTTTACAACTTGGACGACTTGATCCTCGCTGAGACTCTTAAGGAAAGGAACCTGCGCAAAGGACAAAAAATGACGATCGTAGGTCATGGCAACAGCAACACACAGCCGTGCGAAGAAAGAGAAAGGCGGGCAAGGCGCGATGGAAGCTGGTGAGATGAGAAAGAAAGTTTGATGTGTCCACACGGCTGCAGCGGTTTTCTTCCGACATGAAACGGTTCATAACAACAACTACAACCAGGCGCACGCACGCCGTTTCGATGTTCCGGGATAATTGACGTATTTTCATCGGTCGGCCGGCAACCGCGGCCGATGCAATAAAAAAAACTTGCGCACACACACAGAAGAACAATGCTCAGCACGGAACTCCTCGAAGACGATGCCAAACGGACGCTGGGAACAGAGTTCACTGAGGAAAGGACGCCTTCCAAACCTTGGGCAAACAGCACAACAGAATAGGCAAGAAAAAGCGGGTGCATAGCGAAGAAAGCGGCAGCACACAGGAACAAAAAATGAACGAAACAGCCTGCGACAGCCAAAACGACGAGAGACGAAGAAAACGAAACAGCTCGGAGAACAACAACACAAAGCACCCAAAAAAGGCCCCCGAGATTAGACCGCGAGAAGCTAGGCAGGAAGCAGCCCCGTACCTTGGCCAGCATGACTGCCCGTGGGGGTAGGTGCTCCGCGTAGGGGTGGTCGTCGAGCTTGATCTTGAACTCAGTGTTCACGTGGAGAGTCGTCTCGGCTTCCTACAAAACGAGCAATGGGGAGCGGGGGGGGGGGTTGAGTCGTGCACGCGAAAAAAGATAGGGTTGGTCAATCGGGCCATGAGCCTCCGCGGGAAACAAAAGCTCGGGAAACACGCTTGGGTCTGCGATGACACAAGAGATAGTACAGCGTCCAGTTGGGGCACGTGAATACGTCACTACAAGTATGAAGTTCTCCAAGATCTTGCAGCACGGACACTCTCCAAATACTCAAAACACGCGATTCTGCAGAATGGTTCGGCCCGTGTTCACAGAAATGCTTCATCATGCGATGACACGACAAAAGCCGTTCAAAAGAACAAGAACAAGAACAAGAACAAGGAAGGGAAAAGACCAACACGAACAACATCAAGAACAACAACATGTGCTTCTCCCAAAACAGCCACAAACCCATTTGCCAAGAGAACCACGTGTTGCAAGTGTGCACCTTCTCGTTGAGCAAGCCGTCCAGGAACATCTCGTGAACGAACTCCCTGTGCTTGGCAAGCAAAAACCTCGCCGCCACCTGGCAGTACGGCCATCATGAGAAGAAAAGGGACGCGTTGGAGGACGTCCGTCGCATGGATGACGGAGTACCGAAAAAAAGTGCCAGTCGTCACTCACACACACCCGGAGCCGACTTTCGTAGCTCGATTGGTCCACAACCGAAAGGCTGGCGACGCCGACAAAGGAGCGTCTTGGCAAAGTTGTCGCCGGGGGGGTTCCGAGCATGCAAAGAAATCGATTTTCGAATCCTCTCAGTGAGGTTGCGGAGTATTCGAGGCGTGGACGTAAGTCTATGGGGTGCGCAATGATTCGCATTTTTTGGTACGGGAAATCTTGGAGTAATCAACTAAACGTCCACTGCGAGTAGTTCGGGTGCCCACCCACCGAACCGAGGTATACCAACTGTCACTGCGGCTCTCCTGTCACTCTGTCTCTGTCTCTGTCTCTGTCGCTGACTCTGTCTCTGTCTCTGTCTCTGTCGCTGACTCTGTCTCTGTCTCTGATTGTCTCTATAGCGTGCGCCACAAAGTCATACGGCAAACAAAACAGCACAGAAAAATCTGCGAAGAAGAAAACAAAATTAGGACACAACAACGCAACCCACCTAAACAACCAAAAGCAACGTATCTACTCTCAACAGCGCGTGTATTACGTCTGCACTGCACAGGAACAAACAAATACTATCAACACTTTGGAGGATGAAAAAGGAACACGGGTGGGTGCTTAAAACCCACGACAGCTTGCCTGCGTCTTGAGGGATCGTGCCACCTCCGGGAAGGCCGGGAGTTGATGTCCTAGGGTTCCCGAGGCGTCGTCGAGCTGCTTCAGGTTCTCCCGAGCAAGCTGGTTCGCCGCATCACCTGGTGGGCATCGCATGTGACGGTACATTCCCACGAAGGAGGGGGTGCACCCGTGGATTTTTCCATGGAGCGGGGGGGCGACCCACGAATGGCGATACAGCCGGGGGGGGTACTGCTGTGTGTTGTCAAAGTAGTCTCTCGAAGCCATTCGACCTCGTACATGTTGCTAACGGCAAGGCCTAGTGCCATCCATCCTTTCCGTCGCCAACGACACTCACTTCATATGGCCTACGCGGCCTATACCCTAGGGATAGTTTCTTACCCTCACAAGACAGTTCCCCAAATCTTGTGTATGCCGTCTCTACGCAGCTTCATAAATATTGACTTCGCGAGACACCCCCCAACATTTAGCGCGTGGCATCTTGCACACCGGAACATGTACTTGTTTACCCCGCAAGACACTTCCTGATATGTCCTATGGATACAGCAGTGCTACATACGAACAAGCTGTTTCATTTCTTACCCTCAGGAAGAAGCTCGAGGATGTCGATGTCCTCGTGGGCAGCGATGAAGTTGGACGCCAGCTCGAACACGAAGGCAAGCTTCTTGAAGATCCAGCCTCCCACGATCTGCCCGATGATTGGCAGGTGCCTAAACCACAAGAATTGGGGGCAACCGGGAGGGGGGGGGGGGCTGACCCAAGAACGAGCACAGCAGACGATGACATGCATGTAGGATTACCCGTAGCACAAGAACCCACTGCTTTCCTTCTCCTTCTCCATGCACTACTACAAGAGCGCTTTGCTTAGCACTGCTCTACTTTCTGAGTAACCGCTCCGCCTATGTGCTTGTGTGACTTGGTTCGCCTCGGCTTCGTCGGCAAGGCCATATCAGCACCGAATGCGTGCGATGCTGGGGTCATGCAGCGCATTTATCAGCGGTGCCTAGATACCCGTATGGGTGTCACGCGTGCGTAGTAAAATGCATGTACTTGAGTATTATTCGTTTTTGACTACAGCAGTATGAGTATACGCGTGCCTCGTCTAACAATGCAGAACTTGAACATTATCGTGTTTGGTTGCAGGAAAACATCACACAGAAAGGTAACCACACAAACAAACGGGTTTCCACCTGAGCGCCGAGGCCATGTTGAGCTGGTATTCCGGGATAGTGAAGGACTCCCTTAGCCTCGCCCACTCCTCGAGGGCGGCGTAACTGTCGTCCAGCTGAACATCGGCGTTTCCCTGATGTGTTCGTTGAGCGTTGGATTAAACACAGACGGCCAAAATCATCAGAAAAAGCACAACGCCGATACGCAAAAATAGACAGAAAATCGACCCTCCAGGCAAGAAAAAACCCGAACATGCAGCGTAAAGCTGTTGGAACTGTGTTACGCCTCTTGCGGTGCCCTCGCTGTGAACGGACGCAAAACACACGCCAACAATTCTCTACCGCTCCTGATTCGTTGAGCGTGGTCCGATCTCCAGCAGCACTACGGCAGTGCCTCAACGGCGGGGTGTCATTTTGTGCAAATATACATCGTACAAGCGTTTGTATTCGATCGGGATGATTTCACAATCATCGCGCATGCCGTGGTATTTCGACTCCCAAATATGTCGCATATCTTCAACTCCGGGAAGGGGCACGCCGGGGTCCCCCCGGGGGGGCAGCAAAAGCATAAAACGTATCTCATCGTTTCTTACCATGAGGACTCGAAGGCCGGAGTCGCTGAGCCACCCCTTGCGGAAGTTGTCCTGGTAGTTCGCCTTGACGGCGCCAACGAAGCGCAGACGGGCCTCGGCGAGCTGCTCCTGCTGCTCCTTAGCCTGGCAGACATTGGCAGCTACTTTCGTCACCATTTCAACAGCAACACCAACACCAACAACGACGACGACAAAAACACGATGATCACCAGCACCCAACATCAACCTAACCTCTTGCGGCAACACCATCGCCCCCTCTCACCGAACGACTGAACCTTGACGCGTTGCTCACGCTCGGCCTGAGCCTGGGCCCGAACGGCGGCTGCGCCCCAGCCTTGCCGCCCCCATGGCTAACACCGGCGCCAGACACCGCAGAAACGCGCTGCAGCGTTGCCGCCGCCGCAGCCGCGGTCTGGCTCTCCTGCCGCAGGTGCTGACTGACGATCGCCGAGGAGGTCGTCTTAGCTGCGGCCGCTTGCTGCTCGTCGGCAGCTTGTTCAGCTTCCCTGAGGATGTTTTGAAGGAATTGCTGGCGGCATTATTGTATTCTGCACATTTCAAACCGTTCAGACTTCTTCCGGTGGTAGCGTTTAGAGAAAATGTTGAAAAAGTTGATTTCTTCACATCTGAAACCATTCCGACCTCAATCCAGTACCTACCACACGTTTTGCGAAACACTTGCTATCGCGTTCTTCACGTTTCCGGCCTCTATTCAGTAATGCCTCCTACAGATATCAATATCTGTTGGTGTTTTCTTCACATACTGTACTCTCTTCAAAGTCACAGAAAAGAGTAAAAGAAAAAAAGTAGGGAGAGCAACGGCCAAGTCTGAATTGCCATTATCGCTTACGATTACGACAAGTAGCAGGAGCCTATCGAACCGAAAAAAAGCAACAGGGTAGGTACTTTGTACATGACGGGGCGACAATCGAATCGAAACCAGCACAAAAATGACGGCAGCAAGTAATCCACCTACCTGACCGCAGCCTTTAGCTTGGCATCAACTCGCTTGAGCTGCTCCCTCGCCAGGCTGAGCCCGCTCTTCGTAGCCTCGATCTCCTGCATTCATCGCCGCCCAAAGAACGTTCCCAACGTTGTCATGAGAATCAACAAAGGTATTTACCATGGTAAAACTATGCCAGCGGTATCGCTGATGCAATCACACATGTCCTCCTTCCTCCTGGCATGGGGGATGTGGATTTGCTTCGAACAGAAAATCAGCAACCTCCGAACATCTGGCCTCTCATTCTACGACAACATCCATGCTCTAGTTGGTAACCTCGAAACCTTCTAGAGGTCAGGTCAGGGGTTCGAATCCCGGCGTAGGCGAGCTTTTCTTGCGAAGCGAGTTTTTCTCTCGCCTCCGCTCCTGGCCGAGTGGATAGCGCTAGTTCGTGTGTACACAGAGGGAAGAGAGCGCTCAACTCTGCTCGCATTAAAAATCGTAGGCAAAGTACCGCAGGAGGGGAGGGTAGAGAGGGACTCTTCTGTGTGACCACGGGTCGGAATAAACGGCACTAGTGCTGTGAGCGCTGATTTGAAGTGAAGAAAAAAGAAAAAAAAAATGCTCACGCTGGGCCATAACCTCGTATTCACGCCCCTCCCCCTAGCGACTAGTCTCACCGAAACACTGCCAAACACAAAAACCACTTCAATCCCACAAAATAGTCCAACTCAAACCCTCCTGAATGATGTAGATATTTCATGGATCAAAAAGTCACCGAACAGAAACAAACGCAAAGGTACACATGTTTCATTCAAGCAGGAGGTTAGGGCACCCGGGGGTACAACCACCACACCAGGGAGCCCCCCCCCCCACCTTAGCGACTTTCGCGTCCGTAGTGCTCAACCCCCCTCCCCGCCTGCCGGCGGCGGCGAGCCCCCGGTGCATGCTCCCGTGCCCCAGGAGCGCGTCCCCCCCGATCGTCGAGCGCCTGCCGGCGTTGGAGTTGTTACCCAGGCGGGCGGCGAAGTGGGAGGAGACTCTGCCGGAGACCGGTCGGACGATGGCCTGATTGTCGTCCAGGGGGGACATGGCCCCGTGGCTCGCCCCCTGGATGTGCAGTCGTTGGATAGGGGGGGGGGGGGGGGGGGGTACTCATAGTCGTGCATGCCGTAGTCGTTAGACCATTGACCTCGCATCCCTACAAAGCCGGGACGGAGTACGCCGGGTTCTCACCGGACCAGGCTCTCACATCACCAAGCGCGAAGCGCCGTGAGGTATTCGGCGAGTCGCATGAAGGGTGAGCTGCATCCTGCTAAGGGTGCTCGGCATCTTGTGCTTACGGCCTTGCGTACGGATGACAGCTGCGTATGACTTAATTTATTTTCTGGTACTATCACTTCCAGAGACAGGTATAAGCGCTGTGTAGCTGCCTCGAGGGTTCTTGACCAATTTAACACAACGTGGTGCGATCACCCCCCTTGCGTGGAGTGAGGTTTTTCTACCCCGCACAACATGATCTACTCGACCACCATTATGGTTACCGCCAAAAAAAAAAGGGTAACCTGGTGGCCGAGTTCACGAAGTGACTTGGCTTGTTTTACAACGTCGTTGCCAAGCGACGAAAACCCAATCCCGATGGCAAACACCGGGGGGGGCGCGGGGGGGGGGGGACCCCTAATCCTGGCTGGCCAAACCCTTAAAACCTTGACCCCCCCTCCCCACCAAACCCGGGAGGAATAACCCCGGGTCCCA